CAGATTAAGTAGCTCTTAAATTTCAAATGAAACGAAGCCAGTTCAATATCCCGAATTGAAAATAGTCATGAAAACGGTGCAATCATTTTAAAGTGTCGTCAGATATGTTTTTTTTTCTTCGGAAATCGTACGCACGCTTAGTGTATCGGTGACGAGGGTTTAACGGCTGAATGCAGGCTGTTGTTCACCCCGATATTGGGCGAGCAATTTGTAGAAAACAATTTAAATATTTCCGTTCCTTTTTCGTTTTCATTTATTGGGAAATACATTTTTACGACAAGGAATATTGTTTCGGTTGCGTTTTTGTTTATCGCGGCACCTATTTGATTTGACATAGAAGCATTGGACTTGGCGCACCTCAATTTTCTTCGCTATTCCATTCGATGAAATTGTGGAGACGTTTCACAGAAGAAGAAAAAAGCGAAGAAGAAAACACGGCACTGCAAAAAAAATGGCATCGAAAGAAGGCGCAGCCAACGATCAACAAACGTAAAGTATAATAACATCAATAGCAACAATGAACGACGATTCGTGTGCAATTTGTTTGGTCTCCGAGCACTTATAATAAATTGTTGTTGCTTTTGGTTTTGGTATGTGTTTGCACATGCAATGGATAAGCTTGACACTTTTTCACCATAACGGATGTAAATAAGAGAAACAAATTTAGGCAAATTGGGAAAAGAGCTTGTGTAATTTATACGCTGTATTTGTCTTGCTACTAAACGATTTGGGATGCTATTCGTTTTGGTATAGAAATTGAAATGAAGAAAAATGGCACCATAGTTTTAATTCGCATAGTGGTTAAGAAAAACTTAGTCGCAATAAAGATTGCAGCACGCAAATGATAGTCGGCTTCCAACCGAAACTAGTAAATTATCATCCCAGAATGAATATAAAATGACATCCATAAAAATAAATGTGAAAATGTGGTTGTGATTCTCACGCGTGCAAAGCTCTTCCTCGTACCATTTATCGTCTTTGTGGTGTGTGCGTGTGTTGTATGTGTGATGATGATGATGCTGCTGCTGAGTTGTTTGATCGATTCTGAGCGTGAGCATTATCTATGTGTGTGTGTGTGTCATGTTTTTGGCTCGTCATTTTGATGAAAGGGGGGAATATACACGTGGGTGTTTCAAATTATATTAATAAATATTCGGTTTACTCCATAAAAGCCCCATAAATACATCACATGTACTTATGTGAAAAGAAAACAAAAGGCGAAAATTGAAGCCACAACTAAACGTGAGAACAAAATAATTTCGAATCAAAGAACTGTAACATCAAGAATGATCGCCGAAGTTTGGCAGAAGGTATTGCCGAAGACTGAATGATGGAACGAAATGTGGTCAATACTACACACACACAAATACTCGTTCAAATTTACATGTTTTTATTCCAATACGGTTCAACTATGGATTACTCCCTACAAGAATTTTGCGACAACGTTTACGCAAACGTATTGCCAACCTTCCGCAATAGTTGTCACAGAATGCATGAACTGCGATCAACTTCATTCGAATTCAGCATGTTGTATTTTTAAAGGCTGCAATGGATGATTATTCTACTTAATAATTATTTTGAATAAGTTTTTATTTCTTATTAGCAACGATGAGCAACAATGAAAGTTTAAATAAAACCATTTGAAATTATGTTTTCAATGTAATGAAGTTGGATACAATTCGAATTTACAGGTTTACGCAATGCGATACGTCGCAGATATGTCGGCGTAATGATTATGCGTAAACCTAGACATTGAAAAACCTATCGCAATGCGGATTGTCACGGGAAGGTTTGGTTTTACGGCGACATGTCGACGTAAACCTCAATGTATCGCAAAATTCTTGTAGGGACTCCTGTATGGAAAAAACGTGGATGTGTTTACTCCAGTTCGAAGTGGCTGTCAAACTTACTTATACATGCGCAAGTATGCTAACCAACCTCCTGAATGGAATAAACACACATACATTTGTTCCAGTCTGGTATAACTCTACATATGCTTTGCCTCCTTAATAAAGCACTCATACATTGAAATAGCGCGCACAAAAGCGAATATTCCAGTATAGTGGCAGGGCTACGTAGTAAGCAGGTAAAGTATATGTAGAGTTATACCAGACTGGAACAAATGTATTTGTGTTTATTCCATTCAGGAGGTTGGTTAGCATACTTGCGCATGTATAAGTAAGTTTGACAGCCACTCCGAACTGGAGTAAACACATACACGTTTGTTCCATATAGGAGTAATCCATAGTTGAACCGTATTGGAATAAAATCATGTAAATTTGAACGAGTATTTGTGTGTGTGTGTGTAATTCTATATTATGAATTGTATTTTAGATCATATATGACAGAATTTTTTTGAACATTTGCTTCCCTCTCGCACACCTCGTTGGCGCCTAACGTTGAAGCGTTTGAACATAAAACGGAATTGACGAGAAGCGTTCGGACCGGATTTCCCGAAAGGATTTTCAACAAAATGTCTGGATTGAAATGGCTTCGAAATATTTACAGCATTATTAAGTAATGGTTTTGAATGGTTGACTGACGCTTGCACATGAGACATAAAGCTAACAATAGAAGCTGCCACATTCACACGTAAGAATAGCATATACGCACACCTACAAACAACCCATGTCTTATCCTAAATAGCCGTTTTACCTGGCGAATAACGATTTTTCTTGTCGACAGCACGAAGCTCTTAGCTTTCTTTTGGCTGATTTTACCTTTTTACCTTGTTATTTGGAGCACATTTCATCCATATGCACTTATCCGGGACTCAAACGGGAGTAACGAACATGGGATTCACTCTATTTCAACTTAATAATATAGTCTTCTTTCGTGCACACGTTGAATGCTTCACTTTCAATGTCTTTAAAATACAAATTTATGCACGACTTGCTTTCACATGGAATATTTTGTCTAATCCGTTGTATATTGCCGCTATTTTTAGGATGCGTGTACATTTTACAATGCAAACTGTTATGAAATGACACGCATCGATAAATCACCCGACTAAAATATGTAACCGAAAAAATTCCGCAAGCTATGCGTAAGTACGACTTGAAAGTGTTTGCTTGATCGAGAATATTTCACATTCGTGTACTGGAGAGGCGCAAAAGCGAAAAAATAAACAAAAACACTTGAGTACACAAGACAATAAAAAAAAATTAATAATGTATCATTTTGGTGTTGTCGTTCGACAGCCCAAGCACCTACATTGTTTGTTGGAATGATCATCACACGAGCCAAGAAATCGATTTCATGTTCACATTTCATACAATTTGTTGTTTCTCTGTCGTACTGTTTTATGGCACAGACAGTGGGAGGGAGAAAAAGAGAGATAACGCTAAAAACAAAGTGCGAGATCGTTTCGTTAATAGAATGATACTTTTTCCCTTTATGAATGCGATTTGGCAATCTCAGCCTCTATTTATTGCAGCACAAATTTTTTGACAAATTCTTGATGTCATTAGAGCCACAGAAGTTGAGCCACAGTCAATCGAATTTTGGCCACATCTTCAGACCATTCAGTCGGATATTGCCAAAATACCCCACAGCTTTAGCGGTTTTTTTCTTCTCCTTCTTCTTATTCTTTATGATTCACGATATCTGTTGAAGCTCTTCGTTTTCTTTTGCTTGTGTAATTTTGCGAAAAAAAAAGTTTGGTGATTCTATTGAGTTTAGAGTTTCACTTCTCTTAGCTTCTGTTCCGCTTTTTTTTCTCCGATTGCGTTATAGTCGGTTTTCGTAATTACGTTCTTTGGTATTCGTCAACATTATGGAAAAGTGTTGAATGTCTATAAAGCAAAACATTAACGGAAGACTTTGCTTGTCGGAAATGAATGGAATCACCTTTGCCTTGAAATATATTTATTTGATATATCATTCCACTTGGTGATTGAGGAAATATTATTTTGGAAAGTAAAAAAATCGGCATATTGATGCTCTTTGGTCAATCATTCTTGTTGAAAGAGTGCAAATTGACGATCTCCGATTGATTCCGAAGACAATTCATGTACTTCACATCAGTATAGATTTGAAGATGAAGGGCGTGAGGTCGAAAAAAAAGTATAGTGGAGCTTGAAGCATTTTTTGTCTGTACTCAATTCTCATGTCGGCTATTTAGTCCTCGTTTTCCATCTTCCGCCGTTAACGATACCGATTACGGCTAAAACGCTAAAACACACAAAATCCTAGGTCATAAAACATCGGCATTGCCGGAGGTAATCTGTGCAGCTTTATATCTTTACGTTCCATTGTATTGATCTTAACGGGAATGTCTATTTCCATCATTTTTTCACTCTATTTATTTATGCACGCGGTTACACTAAATTTAATCCCAAACCATTTCGGGGTCTTCGGTTTTGTTGGGCTGAATCTGTTCACCTTTCTGATGCTGAACTTTAATAACTCTAATATATATCCGGTCATATTCTCGATTTAATATTACTTTATAGCTTTTCAGCAAATCTAGCATAAAACGTTTATCGTTTAATTTGCACAGCAAACACGAAGCTCCATTAAAAAAATTAAATGATGAACAACAATATTTTCATTTACGCCTGCCCGATAAATTAGTCGAAAACGAATTTAAGCAAAATAAAAACGCCATTTGATTTGTACGATAGAAATGATCGAATGCACTCATATGGAATTATTACGAACACGTTTCTGCTTTTTATTCGCTCCGAAATTTCAGTTTGAATGCTAAACTGCGAAATGGCGTGCATTTTGGGAAATTTTCTAAATGACACGTGACACACGGATACGACGGTGCACAAGTAAACCTGAGAAAATGAACGTTGGTTTTTCTCTTGGCAAAGAATGATAAATGATTCAAAATTAGGACAACTGAGTTATTAAAAAACAATAAGGTGGAAACCGAAACAACGAAAACCAGCGAACGTGTCTGTTTTTTTGGTCTACTTTTTAAACCTTTTATAAAATGTTTATAGACGAGAAAATAGAAAGAGTAGAAACTTAAACATTGCATATATACATACTTTTTTTTGGATGATGTTGCTGGAATGGGAGCCAGTAAGCACAGGTTCTTGAAACACGGTTTCAATGATGTAAACTCAAATATTTGCGTTAAAAAAAAAATTTGTTTCACCAAAAAGCCGCTGATATCATTAAAAAAATTCACTTTAACCGGAATTCGATCCACAATCAATTCGTTTAATTGGCACTTGATTACTTTCTAAATGGTTCAATGAAATGTCAACAACAATCAACGACAATGAAAGTGATCGCAAACAATTTTTTTTTTTCACTCTCGATTCCTGTGTTTAGATTGTTTGTGCTTCGTGTGAAATTGTTTCGGCCGTAATAACAACTAGTTGAGAATAGATGGATGACCGTATTATTGGCCGTTGTGATAAAGTGAGAGAGAGTGAATAAATGTGATGTTGTTGTTGAACTTGGTTTGCTTGATTAGAACAACGTATTGATAGACAGCAAAAGTTAGAGCTACATTTGCTTCGGAGATTCCGTCCTAATTTAATGAGTTCGCGAAACATACTAAACTTCACATCCGAATATTTTTGGTAGCGATCCAACACAATGCTTATTGTGAGCGTGATGGCGATGTGTGTACAATTCGTTCTCATGAAACGAACGCTGCTGCTGCTGCTGCCGCTGCTGTTGCTACTGCTACTGCTGATGTTGCCGCTGTTTCTGTTGCTGCTATCGCGATAGCTGTCGCTTTTTACAGAGAACAGAGATCTCATCCGTTTAATGTGCGTTCTTTGTTCTGTGCACGAGCAATGTTTATGCTGTCGGCTGAGTTGATGTTTGGTAGAACGAAACATTTCATCTCTTACGTTCAAAATACAACGGAAGAGAGGAATTCGCCTTGTTAGTTTCTTCAATTTGTCGCACAAATCGTTGATGTTTACTGAAAAAAATTTCTGCTCAAATCACATTCTTCCCATTTTGATTCGCATTTTCTTTGGACTTTCAAGCTTGTCGCCTTTTATCAGTCGTTCAAATTTCTCCTCAAACATCTTTTTTTCCCTCGTTTCGCTTGTTATTTTGTATCGCGTCGCGCATTCACATATCGTGCAGTGGATAGAGCATACGGTTTCGAATATTGGTTTTCGATGGGTTTGCCACGGTACGGATGCCATTACTGCTCAACATGTCACGTCGCACAAACAAAAAATTTCTTATGGAAAAAAAGAGAAAAAGATGAATAAAAAAAAAGAAAGTTGAAAGAGATAAAATAAGACCAGAAAGCATCCATGCTCCCAACGCTAACGATCCTCGTGCAAACCGTACACAGTTATGGGATTCAGTCGCCTGTACGCATTTTTCATTGTGCTTTTTACCCCACCACTGCTACAATTTGTAAGCCAGAGTGCACAAGAAAAAAAATCGTTGTCTTGCATTTTTCCCGCTTGTTCACCGTGAGGGGAAAATTTGGAGTCAAGTTTTTGAATGAAACATTTTTACTACAATCACTCAATTCTTTCACTTAGCAAATGCTCGTTGGTTTCACACTATCGTTATGGATGGTATGTGCGTGCAAGACTGTACGTATACAGTATACATTTATTATTGCTATTGGCATCATCGATTTTTGTACGTCGTTTGACTGTAATTGAATGAATGGCGCTGTGCAAACAGAAACGCATGGCATTCCATTCATTGCGAAACGTGAGCTTATTGAAATTGGATCAGTTGCACAATACGGTACGGCATGGTGTGGCACGGTGTTGTATAGCACAGCACGCGAAACATTTCTCGCTTGTATAACATTCGATCTGATTTCGATTGAATAACCATACTTTTGAATCTTTCAAGAGAATTCTGTATCACATCACTTTTAAAATTGATTCAATGCCATCCATATATATGAGCAATCTATGCACCGATGATATTAACATACCAACATTCCGCGGCAAACAGCAGACCACGCAGCATCTAACAACACGAAAACGAAACTTGCCGCAGGTGAGTCAACAAATGTGCGCGGCACAAGAGAAACAAGAAAATTGAGAAGAACCCACCATTTGGGTCATGAATTCGTAATATCAGCGTGGTTTTTTTTCGGACCAATCGTTAAGCTTAGCATCTGAAATTCGCTTGCGGTATAAATGACGAAATGTGTATGTAAATAGGATTATTAAGTCAATTGAAATACTCATTTCATTTAGCTTGAATTCAGTAGCTAGCTGCACACCATATATTGCGGGCTGTGAACTTTTTCACACATGAAGATAAAAAAGGCGTTTTGAAAATTCAGTTGAAAAGCATCATTAATTTGGGGATTTGCCGAAATAATGCTTTTCATCGCAATTCAAATGATTCCAAGTCAAACGAGAGGATTCAATTTTTCAACACCATTACATGACATTACAAGCATGTTAAAATATTCACATTTATCACGCTTCCTTACACGTTACCATGCTCTCATTCTCTCTGCAATCAATTATATTTGATTCGACATGCAAACAGAAACCAAAGTACTTAAAAAGCTTACATCAAACAAGGTCGCTTTCTTCGTATACAAATACATGGGAAATATTTGACGTAAAACGCCAAGACGCCTCTACGCGTGGAATGCTCGAAACTGTCATCGTACACATATTGAACACGAACATTGTCGTTTACACAATCTCACTCACACAAATGAACACATCGATAGTGCCCGATCAATCTATGTACGATGACTGTTTTCAGTGTCCCTCGCCTAGAGGTGTGCGTGTCGTTTTTCTTCGTTTATTAAGCGATCTTGCATCAAGTCTGATGATTCCAAAAATTAAAAGCAAACATTTTCTTCTATTTCTTCCCTCCGATTGTAATATTAAAATATATAGGCGATTTGTCATTGCTCATTCCATACCGGGGCAGGTATCTCAGAAATGAAATCTCTTTGCTCAAATCACTAAATTACATTTGAAGTGGTTATATAATACTAACGAATCACTTTCGATTTCTTCACTTTTTGTTGACACTTTGTTGAAAATAGGAATGAATTGTGACAGCCCAGGCATAAAATTAGATTTCCATTTGGAGCAGATAAATTTTTTTGCACTTGAGCTGCGTTCGTTCGAGCGTGTGAAATGCAACTTTCCTTGAAATTTAAGACCAAGCAACGTCAATGCCACAGAACATTCGTTGTGTAAGCACTCGTCTTTTGGTTGAATCTCCATTGAAATCTCGCTGCGAATGAGTCCTTCAACACAATATCGAAACACAATTCAGAACTGATGCAATGAACAAAATGCTTGCTTGGATACAACTGAACAATTCCATACATACAAAAATGAATGCCTTTGAATAAACATCGCAACAATTTTCCCAAATAAAAATTACAAAAATATGCAAGCTATATTTCAGATTTCATTCAAACATGAATGGTATAAATGCAAAATATCTCTGCAAAAAAACGGGAGAGAATAATTGAATCAATAATTTCCGGTTATGCAATTCAAATGCACAGTGGGCTATGATTTTCAATTAGGGGAGAGGTTTGTAAGTTGACCATGTATCCTTGATATTTTCATAACTTTTCGAAAAATCGAGATGTCGTAGATTTTGAAATATCGTTGGAAAGAGGACCTCAAAAGCTACAACTTTGCCACAGAAAGTTATTTGGTTTAATGGAAAATGAATTTTTTTCAGCCGATTTTCCGAGTGGCTTGAAATCGAGAAAAAAAAATGTTGGCATGTAAGTTGACCACCCCCTGAAAATCTCTGAAAATGTAAAGAATATTGAGTGCAAACACTCCAATTACAAAATTGATGGAATTTTATTGAATGTTCATTAGTTTTATTGGCTTTGAACACAGAAATAACGGAAAAATTTGCTAAAAATTTTAACTAAAAATTTGCCGAAACCAGAAAAAAAATCACGAAAATGCCACTAAAATACCATTACAATACCACTAAAATAACACAAAAATACTTTAAAGTTGATCCGATGTCAATTCTAAACATTCAAAAAGTATGAACATGTTGTCGGCATGTTTACACAGTTGAAAACATGGGTGGTCAACTTACAAGTCCAAAATGTGGTCAACTTACATTTTTTGATGACTTTGCGTAATGAATCAGAATTTTTTCCATGCCACCAAATGCTTGGATTTGAGATCGGATTATGAAAATACATTAAAAACTGCTATGTAAAGATCATACTCACTTTTGAATAACGATCAAAATTGTTCACTTTACGATGACAGGGAAATGAACGAAGTTTAATTATTTTATCCAAGAAAATATACGGTGTTCGTATGACTAATACACGATGCGTCTTTTCACTCGGAAACCACACTAAAATTGAAGTCTGCTGTTTTAATGACGTTTACAGTTCAAACTCTGACGTTTCTACTGTCAGAAATACGAAATACCATGGGGTGGTCAACTTACATGCATGGTCAACTTACAAACCATTACCCTATATTTTAATATTAACATTCCATGCCGGCGAATTTTTAAGTTAACAAATAAACGGAAATTAAAATGTCAAAAGTATTTGCATAGTAAGTAGTAACTCTTTGCGATTAATATTGATTATGGTAATTTTTGTTGATTTATCCAAATCAAGGACAATGGACAGCATGTGTTCGACTGGGATTGAATTGAATGGATGAAACAATGGAATGGATTTGGCAAAGAAAATCGAAGAATGAGTTATGACATTATTTATGGCTATCCATTTCAAATGTGAAGTGACCATCCCTATGTAAACCCATACACAGTTTCTTATAATACTGCTTCTTCTTCTTCACACTGTCGTACACAATGGGCGCGACCATATTGAAAATGTATACAGTGTATTGCGTGCCATTTGTGAACATTATAACCAATATGGCGACTTATATGTATAGATGTGTTAGTTAAGAAGAAGAAGCAGTCGCACTGCACCGTTCGCATACGGACGGAAGTGACCAACATGAAACAAGACAACTTTCTTCCAATTATTTTTATTTTGTTATAATAGAATTCGCGATCAAATTCTTCTCGATAAGTCAATCGAAAAGAGGAATTGATTGCATGAGAAATCGATAGAATCACAACCACCGGCATATTTTTACCTAGTGTTGTGTCTACAATCTACTAAATCATGAGCCTCTCTGAGAAAACAAAAACAGATTGTGTCTATTTGTATGGCGTTTATGCCATCGGCGTGCGGATTTTTTCTGCTTGTTTTTCCTGACTTTTGCCACACAATCAAAAAGCAGCAGCGGCCGCATCACAGATGAGAAAACAATTTTCTCTGTCATCAAGAGCACATTTGATGTGTGATATTATTTATTTGTAGAAAGCATTTGTTGTCAATGCAACAAAGACATTTGTCGGCATGTTTCTATGCCAACACAAATCACGTTAGTATGATATAGCTGGTCTAATAAAATTGGGTAGCATATAAAACTTTGAATTATCCTTTTATCTGTTAATTCGGTTTATTGATTTATTCGCCATTTGTTTGTATTGCATTTGGACGCTTTCGGCAAATATTATTTCACCATTTTTACCAGTGGATTTTCTCTCTCTCTCTCTCTCTCTCTCTCTCCACATACAAACCACGCAACATATTTTACATTTGTCTTCTGTTGCTGATGGAATTATTCCTTTGATGATTTGACACACAAAATTCCAGCCAGCTGAATTATCTCGTTTAGTTATCCTATGAGATGCTGAGAGCGATATCGCAATCACTGTCAAATATACACATTTG